TAGCAATAACAATAACAATACAAGGGCTATTTACAAATGCACGCGGGGCTGCAGTATTTTTTATCACCTCAGTGGAAAAATACCTTCTTATCAACGGACCAGAGGTGTTGCCATGAGGCGAAGTTCTGACGGTAGCCCCAAATGTACCGTCAAAAGCTGTCTGACAAACCAGAAAATCCTGAGTTGTCTGGACTATTTCTTGTTGGTTCGTAACGCACGTAGCAAAAAGCAAGTGTTGATATATCATTTAAAGTTTTACTGTTTCTCATCTGTAAAGCACAGAATATTAATTTGTAAAATGTAACACGGTTATCTTTCAGTATAAACAAAGTTGACCTGATTAAAAAAATATTATTTTCACACTGTTATGGTGTACTTTTAACTGTATTGTACTGGTTTTTATATTACAGTTTGTTTGCGTTTAAACTACAGTAGTTTGTTAACTCTACCAAAAAAATATTTTTTAAAACATATTTTTACTGAAAAATTAACAGTTGTTTTTTGTTAAGCATTTTACAAAATCTTAATGTCAAATATACTCTGCTCTATTGTTTTTCCTTTTACAGTTTTTTTATGTCGTTATTTTACAGAATTTCTCAGTTAATTTCACGGACATTTTTTACAGTGCATCACCTGAAAAACAACCCCATACCATCAAACTTTACAGCTGGCACAATGCAGTCAGGCAGGCAAAGTCCTGTCATCTGCCAAACCCAGACTTATCCATCAGACTGCCAGACACAGAAGCGTGATTTGTCACTCCACAGAACACGTTTCAAATCCTCCAGAGCCTATTGGCAGTGTGGTTTACACTGCTCCACCTGACGCCTGGCATTGTGCTTGCTGATGTGAGGCTTGCATGCAGCTGCTCGGCTATGGAAGCCCAGTCTATGAAGCTCCTGGTGCACTGTTTTTATGCTGGGGTTAGTGCCAGAGAAAGTTTGGAACTCTGTAGTTACTGAGTCAACAAGGCATTGGTGACTTTTATGCACTATGCACCTCAGCACTCGGTGACCCCGCTCTGTTACTTTACGTGGAGTTTCTGTTGTTCCTAAAGGCTTTCATTTCGCAATAATATCATTTACAGCTGACCGTGGAATATCTAGCAGGGAAGAAATTTCACAAACTGACTTATTGCAAAGGTGGCATCCTATGACAGTACCATGTTGGAATTAACTGAGCTCAATTTCACAAATGTTTGTAAACCTTTCTGCATAGCTAGTTTGATTTTATACGTCTGTGGCAATGGGTTTGACTGAAACACCCGAATACAGTACTTTTATCCATATATTGCATGTAAAATCGGCCCCATGATCCCTGCCTTTGATCTCAGTGACATGCATCCCTAAGTGGGAAATGCAAATCTTCTTAATACAGTGTTGAAAATTAGGCACAAGCCATTCTCCCTATGCTCAATGACAGTATTGATTTTAGCATTTAGCTGCTTGGTGTTTATATCCCCTTGAGTTCGGTGTGGGCTGGATGGCACAGTAGTCGGTCTGAGTGTTGTGAGCCCCTATCCCTGCCCCCCCCCCCCACCCCTCCCCAGCACGTCCTCCTCACGTTACTTCTACACGTGCCTGTGTAGAAGCTGTATGGGCGGGCACATAACAAAGATGGCTGTGTTTCTGCATGTTACACTGTGTCCCGTGACATGCAGCCACATCGACAATAGAGAGAGACAAAGGCCAAGGGTCGGGGATGCCACCACCCATCCATGTGCTTGCGTGGCTGCCTAAGCTCTGTTCCCACTGGCAGGCACGTCGCTTCCCACTGCTACTTCTTTCATGTCATCCCATCAGAGTGCCAGGCTTTGGAAGAGGCCCAGAAAAACAAGTACGAGTGTTTTTTTTTTTTTGCATAAAATTGGCGCCATCTGCTGGTCACCTAAAGGTGGGTGCCAGTGGTTCTCAATGTGCATTGCTCATGTTGAGCATGCCTTATCACATCAGCAGTCATATGCAGCCAAAACACAAATGCAGTGAAGGCATCTGGCTTTAGATAAGTATCGTCTGGAGAAAGGGTTTTTTTCTCCATAAATACTGTGAGCAGACCATTAGGACTGGCAGGGGAGAAATCTTTTTCTCCCTTTTACAAGGGAAGTGTTCACAAGCCCTGCAGATAACAGAACAGCCCTTCCTGCAGTGTTAAGGTGGGACAAATATGAGGAGTATTCTGAGGAGGAAAGTGACACAGGTAAGGTTAAAATCACTCTGACCCAAAAGCAAAAGTTACACAGGATGAAAAATCAGTGGCACCAAATGAGCAAAGAGTTTCACTTTGAAAAAAGTATGGTTGTTGTCCCACTGAGCTTAGATTTTCAGGGAAAATACTGACTCATCTGAGAACTTACCATGACAGGGATCCATATTTTTTCCTGTTCCCTGCCGAAGAAAGTGTCTCTTATCTATGGAAGGCATCTCTAGCTTGAGGGAGTGAGAGAGGCACCTTCTGACCTCTCTGCTTAGCTCGTGAATTGTAGCATAAGTGCTGTCTATCTCCTGGGCTCACACTTTTCTCCTACATTTCAAGCACATCCAATCTTTCTCTCCACTAACATCCCTTTCCTGGACAAGGTAGAGGAAAAGTGGGGTGGGGGGGTGATAAGGACCACAGAGACCTGCCAAGTGAAATGGACAGCTTCCTCGCTGTCTCTGCAGCCCAGGGGCAGGTAGGATAAGGGAGGGGGGACCACCAGCAGAATCAAACCCATGGGAGGGGGGGGGGCACAGCCGTATTGTTCTTGGAGCCTGCAACTTTTCCAGAGGG